TTGATGGTTTTGAGGTGATAAGTAATGCTTGTCTACAGACCACGCCTTGAGAACCAGAGATCCACAGCACACTTCGCAGGTCCTTCTGACTGCGCCCCTGCGGGCGCCCTCACATCAGGCCGGCCTTGCCTTTGGTCCTAACTTATCTACCTGGGTCACTCTTCTTAACTTGGGCTTCAGTTTATTTCACTGACTCTTAGCCATCAGCCATGCTGTCTGCCCACAGGAAGGGTTTTCTTTCTAGATGAACTGAACTAGGCTCAGGTATAGTTAAGGAACATTTAGACAAACATGAAATACGCCCTAGAGATTTTTCTTAGTCTGCTCAGAGAGGCATGTCAAGGTCCCTTAGATTACATCTTACTGTCTGACTTAGGATGGAAAATTGCAAAGCAATTATCCCTCCACAGATTTCTGCCCCCACTCATCCCGACTGCTTGTGAACAGCCTCCACTACTGCGAAGGGAACACTGCAACAGCTTATACACCCTCATGTGCAGGGCCGGTGTCATTCATCTTCCCTCCCCTGCTCCTGGCGCAGGGCCTGGTGCACACCCAGGTGCACAGCCAGCACTTGCTGGGTTACATTGAACACAAATGCAAACAGACTCCCATCTGTTCACTGATGCACACAGCAATGGTCTGATTGCTTTCTGGGGTGTTGGTGGTGGTGACGTCTGTCTCTCTCTGACTCCCTGGGACAGAGTCAAGCTCAGCTCCTAATCCACAACTTTCCCCTTTCCATTCAGTGTGTCCAGTGAAAAACTATAGCAAGCGCTTGAGAGTATAGCCACCGAAAGCAAATAAAGGCAGGAAAACGAGGATGCTGAGGGGTAGACTTCAAAACTTCCACTGCTCATTTGCTTTGCCTACAGCTGGACAACGGGAAGCGGTTACATGAAAATTAAACTGCGCCAAGGGCTTCAACTTGTCAGCCTCGATAAATGTCTGATGTAGACAGCCTCCCGTGCCATCCCTAGCTGCCACAGCTCATTGCAGAGTCTTTGGGGTCTCTAGGGGGTGGAAAATTCTCCTGGAAATAGCATCTACTTTTAGCTGGAAAATTCTCTTAGAGACTTAGACTTTCTCCATTACTTTTAAAAAAAAATATATCTAGTTAATTTACATGGGGAGACGGTGAATAAAAGGCTTTTTTTTTCCCTTCTTCTTGTCAGCATTGAGTCATACAGCCAAGAAGGCTGCTAATTCTGAAGTGTGCTGGGCTGGGCTTTCTCCTGATTATGTTGCTATTGATTCAAATAGTCACAAGTCTTTAGGATCATTTTTAGAGCAATGAATTGAGCAGGGCTGAAATGCACACCAGTCTGAGATAATGAACATTCTGGCTTAGAAATCATTATGGACCGAGTGGTGCTGAGAAGGCACAAAGCTTGGTGGGCAGCGCTGTTTGCTTAGTGGAGTCAGTGCTCTGGATCCAAGTCCTGCAGCCTCAGGAATATTTATATGAGTTTTTGAATTAAAAAACAACCAGGGCTTTTTTTGTTGTTCCTCTCTTAGAACATGAACTTCTAAAACTGTTTCATGATGATGATGATGATGATGATGGCATTTTCCTGCTGTACTGTTTGAGGCAAAACCCTGTGGGTGGGTGGCGTGAGGACTGGGGAAGCAGTTTGCTTTCTGTTTTTGGTATGGGATCCCTAAATACAGTCCTTGGACCAAATCTGGTTGGCTGCTAATTTTTGTATGGCCTACGTGATTTCAATTTTTTTAAGAGTAAAATTCGTGACATATGAAATTGTTTTTCAGTGTCTCTCAATAAAGTTTTATTGGAATATTCATTTTTTTACATTATGGTAGCTTTCGCGCTACAAGGCAGATGGGACTCCTTGTAGCAGAGACCGTATGGCCTGCACAGTCCCAAGTATTTCCTGTCTGGTTCTTTCTAGATAAAGTTTGCTGGTCCCTGGCTTGGAGGAAGGGAGGATGTGTTCTTGGCAGAGGCCTCTTCCTCCTGGACAGTCCCCATGTCGGTCAGGGGTGGCCATAGTTTAATCCAGACATGGGCTGGTCTATAAGCCCTGCATAGTAGGGTGACAGTTTGATTCTAGAAAGTGGTAACTAAAAGAGGACCCACTAACATGACACTTTTGCCATCTAAATGCATCCAGGCCTTGGTCAGATGTGAACAACATCTGACTAAATGTATGGGAGGTATTTTTTTAATATTCTTTATGATGGTTCACCAGCTAATTGGCTGCTTTAGTCCACTGGGGCAATGCTGTACTGGCCCTTTCCAATCTCGGCTTCCTCTTTTGCCTCCTCTGTGGCATCTGAGGTTTAGCCCATCTTTTTCCAAACTCTGAATAGTGGGGCTGATGGCATCCACTTGGCAGACAGGCTGTGAACTGCTCAGCTGTTCCGTGCATGGCCCAATCTGCTCTACTGACATCTGGGTGAGAGCAGCACACAGGCTTCAGAGTGCCAGGCTGAATAGTGACACTTTTCACATCTGGTGAGGGCAAGTGATATTACCATCACTCACCTGGATACCCGCTGAAACTCCCCTTTTCTAACCTCTCCTCCCTCATGCTCACCCACGGTGATGGTCAGGCGTTGGGAAAAGAGTGAGTCCAGCTGACCACCAGCCCCAATATCCAAGGGCCTCATGTCAGTTGGCGTGCAGCAATGTGGAGGGCAAGGGGCTCTGGTGCTTGGTCACCAAGTCTGTAGACAGATGAGTCCAGCCACCAGTGCCTTCTCAGATGACTCATCCTGGCTGCCCAGCCAAGTGCCATTTTCACCCAATTCCTCCTTCAACCCAAGGATCTCAAAAAGACTTTCTGTTACTCTAAACAGGTCACCCAACAAAAGCAAAAAGAAATGCACCCAGAAGAGACAGCCAGAGGGCTTGAGCCAGTGTTTCCCCTACCCAATCAAAACTAGAAGACAGAGCAGAGAGAAAGTGCTCTCATAAATTCTAGATTTAAATATTTGCAATCAAAACCCCATTCAAATTAGTTTTAAACATACAAAGTGTTCCCCTCACTGCCATAATGTTTAGAGAATTCAGTAGCTCTAAATGCTCAACTAAAGAACCTCTCTTTATTTAAGTCTTTATTAAGTTTTTAAGACTTAGCCAAGCCTATGGATTTTTCTCCTTGTAAATGTGTAAACCCAGCCTGAGAGAAAAAGGAAGGATGTGATTTGGATAATTCACAGGAGGTGTAAAAACTCACAATTTTTCCTTTAGAGGCTGGTTTGTGACTATGTCTGTCTTTGGCTTCTCTCTCTCCATAGTTTCTAGAAGCATCCTTTCTACACCTATCAAGTCCTGTGTGTGGCTTGTGTCATTCAGCTTTGCGCTCTCCTATAGCTACTGGTAGAAAGCCTAGCCCATAGTAGGTGTTAGGAAATGCACACTATGTGAATTAGTATGCTCATAAATAGAACCTTGGACTAAGCTTGGAGGATGGGAAGTCTTAACCTTGCTATACTTTTGAACGACTCTAAGCCATACACAATCTCTGGGCCTCAATACACTCATCACCAAAACAGGTCTAACATTGGACAACTCAAGTATTTCACAGGATGGTTGTGAGGTTCAGAAGAGTGAAGGGGTACACAAAACGCCTTGGGAGATGGGCAGAACTCCATCAGACCATTCACTCTCTCTAGGCAGAAGGCTGCAAAGACCTGCTGTAGATCTCACTGGGTGGACAGGACACCCCCGTGAGCTCTCTGATGGACGGCACCGGGAACACAAGGAGCAGGTACTGAATGCCACATGGCGAGGGATTGCCTTCTTTGCCCCCACACAGATAAAGGAGGGATTGGGGTGGAGTGTGAGGACCAGGACAGCTCATATAGACTGAGGACAGAAAAAGGAACTCAAGACATTGGAAACAAACATGTCCTCAGGGCTTTGTGAAAGTCTTGTAATAGTCTTAATTCTTGCCTGCTATTTATTCTCTTGGCCACAAAAGATTGCCCACTTGTTACCATAGCAACAATTCTCTTCACAGGGTGTCCATATTAGAATGAAGGTGGAAAAGTCTTTCTTATTAAAGAAAGAAAAAGAGAAATTAGGGTTTGGGGATATTATCTGTCCTCTACTCAAAGCATTCCTCCTTTTATGAACAGAAGAAAGCAGCAGCTTCTTTAATGCAAATATGCTTCTAATTCCTAGCAGTTAAATTCTCAAACTTCCATCTGGGACTGAGGCGCTCACATTTGTTGTACTATGTCTGAGAAGGGTGTGTTGTCTCTAGAGGAAAGATAGTGTGAAATAGGAGACAGGAACCAGGAGGAGAGGTGGTGAGAGCCTTGACCTTGGGTTGCCCTTGACTGGGGAGCCCAGCCACCCCACCCTGTCTCCCTGAGCATCCACCATCAGCCCTTGCTTCTGCTTGCTCTGAGTTGCAGTCCTGCTATGTCGTCCCCCGGCAGGGCCTGGGAGAAATGCTTCCTGGCAGGTAATGGGTCCCAGTGTTCACAAACAGGCAGGCCGGCCCAGTGCTGGGGATGGGCTCTGCTCTGGACATGTCAGCATTCTGTGGCCTCAGCAAGAAGCAGAGGAAAGGGCTCTGTCAGCGAGGAAGAGTATGTGCGCACTCTATCTTTTCCTGGAAACTCAGCTACACGTTGACAAGGGCCTTCCCATCAGGCATGGGGCCCTTGGGCCTTAATGGGTAAGGTTTTACCAGCGTCTTCGAGCGCCAGCCTGGGGACGATCTGCTGTTGTGGTGGAGACAGAGTCTAGTCAGGTGTGCACTGTGCCTCAGCCCAGTGGGCCTGGGGAGGTGGTGATGTCAAGGTGGGCCTTCTCCCCTGCAGACCCCAGCGTGGTTTTCGGCACCACCAGCAGGTGGACTGAGAGGAAGCTAGGTGAGCCCAGGGTCCGAGTACCCACTGACGATGATGCTGGGCTCCCTGGCGCTGCCCCATGGCTGGGAGTGACAGAGCCCCAGGCACGGGGCACAGGCCCCCCCCCCCCGGACCCGTCATAGAAATCAGAGGCAGGGGAGCTAGTCTCGGGCACGGATCAGGTCAGGCTTTACCGAGGGGACACGCGGGCTGGGCAGCAGACCTGCGGGCACTAGTAGGGCAGCGTGGAGTCATCCCACTCCAGCTGGGCTCGCTGGGCGCCGCTCTGCCTGCGCTGGCCTCTCCCCATCACTTCCTCCTCCTCCTCTTCGCCGTCCTCGGAGCTGCTGCTGCTGCTGCTGCTTGAGCTTAAGTCTTCTTCTGCTCCCTCCTCCTCCTCTTCCTCCTCGCCTTCGGTCTCATCTTCTCCATGCCCTGGTCCTTCATGTTTCTGCGTGTCAGGGAGAGAAAGGAACTGCTCACCCCAGGATGCAGAGCTTGTGTTACCAGAATGTGGAAGGCCCTTGCAATCTCTTAGCTTCTAAGCCAAGACTCAGAATATTGATGTTTTGTTCTCCAAAAATATTCCTTTGGAAAGGGGCACGTTTTGGTCTTCACTCTCCCTGCCTGCCCTTCATCCGGCGACTCGCGCCTCACCTCTCTGGGTCCCCCAGCTCTGGACTTGGGTTTGGGGCCTGTGAACAAGGTCATAGACGATGTAGCACAGCTGTGCTCCCCTACAGCACCTTTGTGTGTCCGTCAGCACTCAGCACCCCTGGGCAAAGCCATCCACTGTGGCTTTCCTGGACAGGCAAGTGTCTAGAGTAGAGGCCTTGGAGAGATGGCTGTTAGCCCACTGGAAAAAATCAGACAATCTTAAGTTTGAAGACTGGGGTGTGTGAATCTGAATACTTGTCTTCTCTCTGTGGGTTCTCTCAGCTGCAGACTTGGTTAGCTCTGCAGACAGTGTGGCGCACAGCCCTTTCATGTGCTGGTAGTAAACCGAGAATTTAATACAGAATCCCTTAGTGTCCGTTCTAACAGGGGAGACTAAGAATGACCACATGGTTGGTTGCGGTCAGAAACTTCTGGTTCTGTTTGTTAGGGGAGAGTGATTTACATATTTTTATTCAAGTAGCATATAGTTGGTCTGTTCAGTTTAAGGGGGCTAGAGAAGCAAAGATATGGGGAGAACCATATGGGGAGGGGCCTAAGAAGAACTAAGCGGGAGAACCCCCCCCCCCCGCAGCTCCCACCCACCGAGGCTCACCTCCATGGGGTTGACTGTGATAGTCAGTGCAGAGTCGTCCCAGTCCATCTCGGCCTCCTTCGCAGCCTCAGTCTCCTGGACGAAGTGCTGGTGTGCTATGCGGACACGGTACACGCCCATGGCCACCACAAACACCAGCATGCACACCGAGATGATGACCACCACCGTGGCGATGCTGGGGACCACTGGAACAAGGAGGAAGCCACAGGACCTGAACAGAGGGCTAGCTTAGCCAGGCGCTGGTGGCTCACGCCTGTCATCCTAGCTACTCAGGAGGCTGAGATGTGAGGGTCACGGTTCAAAGCCAGTCTGGGCAGGAAAATCTGTGAGACATTTATCTCCAGTGAATCACAGAAGAAGCTGGAAGTGGTGCCAAGGCTCAAGGCTAGTGGCCTTGAGCAAAAAGGAGCTCAGGGACAGTGCCCAGGCCTGATGCACGCACGCACGCACGCACGCACGCACACACACAAAGTCTAGCCCACTCCTGTGAAGGAGCATGAGCGGAATGCCCATGCACAGACTCCACTTGTCTGGGTCGGCTTCTGGGTGGGCCCGTCCCTTGTCCACATGGTCGTCTATCTGGGTAACAGACTCAGCCCTAATCCATGTGACTTTGTACATAGGAACAGAGTAGGCATCACCCGATGTACAGATTCTTCTATCCCTAGATTCCCCCTCTAGGTATAGGGGGAGGGGAGCCCCAACTGAGATCAGGAACCATAAATGCAGGAGGAAGAGACATAGCTCCCACCAGATGGTGATGCACTAGAGCGCATGCTCAGACAGCAGGGTGGACAGAAGACTCTGGAGTGTGGTGTGTGTGTTTGTAAGGGCTTTGTGGAAAGCCTTGCCTTTAGTTGAGTCCAAGTGCTAGCATGTTGGCCCCAGCCCTTTCTACCACCTCTGCTACTATATGCCACGTGCAACTTCTTGCTTTGTTGGCTGGCCCCTCCTGAAGGTGTGGGCACCTCAGAGATGGCCATTCCTCCTTCCCTTAGTGCCAGGCGCCTTTGGCTGCTACAACGGACGTGTTGGGTCCCAGAGACCATCTGGGGTCCTCTTAGGCTCCCTACCTGAGCTGCGCCGGATGCTGCTCCGGGACTCCGGGTGGTGGACAGACTGGAGGAAGGGCGGTTGCACGATGAGGTGGTTGACATGCTCATCCGAGACTCTGACTTCATGCAGGACTCCAACCTGGAAGGAAGGGCAGAGCTGTTTACCAGGGGCGGCCGTCGCTTTCCTGAAGGAATGCGGGAATGGCCAGGGGAGTCGGGACCCCCGAAGTCTTGGCAGGCCCCACTCACCTCCACGTTGAACTCATTGCTGGTGTAGCGCCCATTGAGCTCGGAGCACTTGATCCGGAACTGCCGCGCCTCGAGGGAGGTTGGGTGCCAGTTGCGGTATCGGAGGTGACGCAGCACCTGCTCATAGCGGCTCATGGAGCCCACACCTGTGTTGAGAGACCACCCAGTCACCAAGAGGCAAGGAGGAGGGGGAGCAGGAAGCAGGAAGGGATGGGATGAGGAGAGGTGGGGGAGGCAGGAGGAGGAGGAGGAGATGGAGAAAGCAGGAAGAGGAGGAGGAGGAACCAGATGGGGAGAGAGGAGGAAGAGATGGGGGAGGGAAGAGGAGGAGATGGGGGAGGCAGAAAGAGGAAGAAGAGGGGGAGAAGGAAGATGAGGAGATGGGAAAGGGAGGAAGAGGAGGAGATGGGGGAGGAAGAGGAAGAGACGGGGGAGGAGAAAGGAGGAGGAGATCAGAGCAGGTGATGGGGGAGGCAGGAGGAGGGGGCAGGGACACAGGACAGATCCCCTGACCCTCTCTGGGGTGGAGCTGAGGGCTGTGCGGGGCTTACCATAGACGGAGTAGCCGGCGGAGGAGTTGGTGGCATCCAGGTGCCGCTGGTGGAGCTCACTGTGGCTGAGCTCCAAGCACTCCTGCCTGGGGTCCAGGTCCCCTCCCAGCACCAGGATGTCACAGAAGTCCAGGTTGTGAAGCATTTCCTCCAGCACTGCGGCTCTGGGGGCTGCGTGGAAAGCAGAGGTGTGACTGCAGCTCGGCCCACGCCCGGCATGCACCCCAGGTCCAGATGGTCAGGGGAAGACTCTCCACTCCCCAGGCGGGCAGCGCAGATGGGTAGGAGTCACAAGTGGATGTCACAGCAGCCCACCTGCTTCCTCATCCCAAGGCAGCCAGGGAGACAGCCCCACTGTGGCTGGCATTTGGGGCGTGGCAGAGTAGCTCCCCACCATGCTCCGGTACCTTCCGCTGCATGGCCACTGTGCGTGTGCCTGTGCGTGCGCTTCCCCTCCCCAGGCCTCAAGGGCAGAGGCCCCGAATAAGTCCTGAGTATCGGTGGCACAGCTGCCGTGGAAGGGTTACTACTGTACTTGGTTCCAATGGAGCCAGATCAGTAATTAATAGTCAATACAATAGAACCAATGGTTAATGAATAATTGATAAATGAAACTAAGTTCATTAGTTAATGGGCTCGCAGGGAGGCAGGTTAGCAAGCTGGCCAGTCCAGTGGTCCTTGCCTGAATTCCCAAAGGAATGTCTGAGGACTGGAACGTTGGACCGTGAGTCAGGGCTAAGTTCAGCTCCTATTTACAAACGTGTGCAATGTGCCAGGCCTTGGGCAAGCCATCTTTATAGATGGACAGCAGAGGGAGTGCTGTTTTAATCCTCATCTGTCAGCGGGGAGTGCAGGGAGGCGCTGGGCAGAAGACACTCTTCTCATCCTATACTTGGAAAACAAGGTTTTCAAGTGTTCTTGACTTTGTTTGTGTGTGCGCACATGCATGCGCACTAGTACTGGGGCTTAAACACAGAGCCCTGAGCTCTGAGCTTTTTTGCTCATGGCTGGCATTCTACCACTGGAACCATATCTCCACTTCCAGCTTTTGTGCTGGTTAACTAAAGGTAAGAGCCTCTAAACTTTTGTGCCTGGGCTGGCTTTAAACCGTAATCCTCATATGTCAGCTTCCTGAATAGCTAAGGTTATAGGCATGAGCCACAGGTGTCCGAGTTAATATTCTGGATTTTGCATGCCTTTTAATGATCTGTCAGCTGAGATCATTTCAAGTAAGGATGTGTATCTATTTCCAAAGTGCACTAAATATTGTATGCATTAAAATATTTATGAAAATAGAAACTTCAGGCATCACCAGGGACAGGAAAATTATTTTAAATAATCAAAATGATTTTCAAAATTTTCCAGTGGCACCAGTAAGTATTACTGCTCTCATTAGATATACTGTTATAAATAATTTCTCCAGGCTTAATTTTTAACTCATCAACCCACAAGGGTTTCATGTATTATTAGCAAAACCTAAAAACAGCATTATACACAAGAGATACGGCCTGTTGTTAATGGTGGTGTACATAGTAGTTTCAAATGGCTCCTTACTACATCTGAGTTTCCTGAGATCACCCTCCTTCTACTTGCTGATAGGGATGGCAGAGCTCATTCTAGATTAGGGGTGTCCTGGTTTTGCCCTTTCCCCCCAGTTCTCTCCTGCTATCACTATTATCTACCATGTCTACATTGTGTGTGTGTGTTGGGGACTCCTGTCTTCAGAAGAGTCTGTTGTGGAGCAGAAGTTGCTTCTGGGGACCAGATAGGCCTAGTTGCAATCACCATAATGCTGATTGTTCCAACAGCAAGAGGGGAAAGTTAAAAGAACTAACAGTAGCCTTTAGCACTTGGCTGTGCTTCTCTCATAAAATGGAAGTTGGAACTTGGGCCTGGATAATTGCCTTTCCCTGCATTGCCTGCGTGCGGTGTCGAGGCAGCAAGTCCAGGTGCTCTGGGGCGGTAACCACTGAGGCCAGCAGCCTTCCTTTTCCTGTCTGATCGTAGCCACACATGAGAACCGATCACATGACCTAACGCACTTGGGCTTGTAACTAGGAAACCGCCTTGGGTGGACAGGTGAAGGCTCCAGCTATATTTATGAGCTCAGGAGGGCTTCCCCCGAGTCTGTGAGTATCCACAGGGACGAGTGTGGCTGGAGGCAGTGGGTAATGAGGATTATTATAGAAGCAGCTCCTCAGAGACTCGGGCCCACGGGCACCGGGCACATCATTAGCCCTGGCGTTCAGAGTGGAGAGAGGGAGCAGGGTGAGTTGACTTGGAGAGACAGCAAAGGACAGTTGTCGATGGATCTTCAGCCTCATGCCCTGAAGCTCCCCTCCCTCCAGGAGCAAAACGGTTGTTCCTCCCTCCTCCCTTCCCCACCATCACACCCTGCAGTTGCGGGTGTAGTGAAATGGCTTCTCCCTGACAGATGAAAATTAAGACCCTTCTTCCTTGAGCTACCTTCTCCATAAGCAAACTGGTAGGAAGAATGGCCCGGTAGCTTCCTGAGAGCTCAGAGCCGCTGCTGAACGAGACCTAACTTCCCTGTGTGTCAGGAGAAAGTTGAGTTCTCTTTTGGCGCACGACATGGCTCATGGCTCATGCCCACTACAGGATCTTTGGGCGGCTGTGGGGAGGGGAAGGGAAGCAGAAACCAATTGGCTGGGATGATTCTCGGAGAATCCCACTGTGAGCCCGAGGCGTCCTTCCTCCTCCCATGGCCAGATCACCTTGTGTGGACAAAGCCTCCCTTGGGCTCCTGTCTCAGCCCCCGACTGATGGGAAGGGTCAGCCACGCTTTGCTCAGCCATCCGCCCTCCTCCTGGTGTTTATCTGGGTTATCACAGTGCCACAGTGAGCTCATCCTGAAGTGCCAGCTATATGGCTGTGAGAATTCAGGGGCCCCAACCCCAAGCGTCTGTACCTGCCGTCTTCATGTCACTTGAAGGCTCGGCTTTGGCGAAGGTGCTCACGATCTTAATGTCGGGGAAGAGGGCCACTCCCCTGGCACTCTGGAACTGGGCAGCGGGTCTCCAGAAGCGGTCTGTGCCCTGAAGGGTGATCTGGGGCTCGATGGCCTGCAGGACCATCACGTAGGCATCTACATCGGGGATGCTGATGCACACGTCTTCGCCAAAGCACCTGGGGAAACACCCCCCCACAAATGAAGCGCAGACAAGGGGATCTGTCACCCCTAGTCCTTGTCAGGACACGTTGTCTGTGAAGTCTCTGAGGATTGTAACAGAGCTTTGGATTTAAAGCTGCATTATAATCCAAACTATTAGTCATGCAAGGACTGAAAAGACTGGCTCCTGAGAGGAAGGAGAATTTTCTATGGGAGCAACAAGCAGCCATTAAAGCTTTCATTATCCTTTAACAAAGTAATCAATGACCATATTAATTAGATAGCAACTGCTTGTTATGTGCATTAGTATTGTTGTCTAGCTGGTTTGTTATAGCAACCTTGCTAAATGAGACCCCAGGGCCAGGTTCTCCCACTGCAGCTAGGCGCTCTGGCACTGGCTTCCCTCAGTAACAGGGAGCCCCAAAGATGCACCTCCTCTGGAGACAGGGGCTGCCGCCCTTACGCTTCCTGCCCTGGTGTCCCCCACGGAGGAGGGCAGCCAGGATCAGGCCAGAGTGTAAGAGGAAGGGGGCCCTGGACCTCCTGGGCTGCTCCTGGCCAGCACGAACCTGTTTCTTCACGTCTGCAATGGGGAAGCAGGGACTCTACCCTACAGCAACGGACTCAACATGGAAGACTCCAGCCAACAAGCCTCCCAGAGCTCGCGTCGCGGTGTGAGCTCAGTGTGGACAGCCAACTCTCGTTGACTGGGTGCCCTTAGTCCCCCCGGCACTGTGATAGCAACGTGGGCTTCATCACCGAGGCCAGAGCCAGGTGAGTGCCTGGGACAGTTGGCTGAGCTCTGCAGACAGCCATCTTCCCGTCTGGGCCGGTCCCCTACCCAGCCTTTCCACCTTCCTCCACGACAGCTTCCTGCTGCCTTTCCACCTTCCTCCTCCATGCCTTCCTGCCGCCTCTACCCCTTTCCCTGGCCCCGGAAAGTAGTCTGGCCTTGGGGCTAGGCCATGGCCAGTCTGGGCCCCCTCTTGGCTGCAGCGGGGAGCTGGCTCTCCTGCTCCGCTCTGTGGGGCAGAGCTGCCTCCTCCTGTGGGGCACCTCTCCCGGGCCCCCACTCCTTGATTTCTGAGACCCTTTCCTCCTTGGGTGCCTGCGGCACTATTTCTACCTCCTGGGGACAGCTCCGGAGGCCCCTTCCTAGCCAAGAAAGCACTGAGAGTTACACAGAGCCCGGTGACAGCAGCATTGTCAGCCTCGTTAACTGAAGGCCCCGCTGCCGGCCACTCACTGGACTTGGGAGGAGAGCCTGAGACGCCGCACTCCGGCTGTTGGGAACGGCCTGGAGTTGATGTAGGAGACTTTCTGGAGGGCTCCGTTGATGTTGCCGATGTCATCACCTTCCATCACCAGGACGGACTGCGAGGGGTTGAAGTGGTACTGGAAGACAGAACGGGAATTGCAAGAGGACAGTAGGGGTCAGTGGGTAGAGCGTGCTGGAAGCTGTCCAGGGCAGTACGAGGGAAACCGCATGGGTTCATGATTCACATCCGCAGCACTTCCTGGTAGTTGTCTGGTGTGTGTGGACCCTCCAGCGATGAGGCATCCTGCCCACACTGGTCTGTCTCAGGGCTGAACTCTGAAAACCCAGACACCGTGGCCTGGAAGCCAGGCCTCGGCAGAGGGTGCCCACACCACCCACTCCCACCTCTGAACCCCAAACTTGGGTGTTGGCTCTGTCTGTAGCCTTGAGCTACTTCTAGTCCACCCTGCAGTCTTTGACCTCACTCTTCCCTTGGTGGCCTTCTGCCCCTGGGTCTCACGCTTTCCATGAGATGCTCTGCTCCCAAGCGGGTTCCTTACCGGTGCATTCCGTCCTCCACCCTCGTATCCGGCATCCCCTCACCGAGTGAGGGCTTCTCCAGAGAGACCACTGTTCCCTTCCCCCACCCCGAACCCCAGCAGCCAGAGCACTGCTCCTGACACATTCTCAACAAGAATCACTTGAAGTTATCAGTAAGATTTTGAGGAAGTAACTGATTCAAGAACATTCAAGGTCATTTCCCTAAAACCACCTGTGCTATGGGAGTTGTTTTTGCCCCTTCCCTGACATCTCCAACCTTCAACACCACCTGTCCTGCAGCTGATACTTCTCGTGCTGTCGACAGGGCCCGCAGACATTTCCTCAGCTCTGCCATGCTTCCCCCTGCCCCCCCCGCCCCCCCCCTCCCCGGGAAAATAGCTGAGAGGAAGCCCCTGGCACATCCCACGGCCACCAGCAGAGGGCGCAGCCCACCGCTGCCCCTGGGAAAGTTCAGGTCTTCATTACACCCCCACCTGGCTGCCAGAGATTCCAAGTCACATAGGACGGAGTTGGGTCCACCATCAACGTCGTTCACACAGGAGTCCCTGCTCCGTGAATGGGGCTCTGGTTAAGCAGGAGACTTGTTGGGGCTGGTAGCATTCTGTGCCCACAGATACAGAACCGCACCTCTCCCAGAGGCTCAGCTGGTTCCTGCCACTGCCCTGGCTGTCTGGGGCTCTCGGGGCACTTTTCCAGTTCCCCTAAACACCTGCCAGTTCCCTTTGCCTGGAGCAGGTAAGAAGTACGGCATCACAAAAGGACCTGTGATCTGCTGAGCGCCTATTAAATTTGCTGCAAGGATATATTCCCACAGCATCACACAGAATCTGCTTTATATTCCAAGTACTGCGATCAAAGGGATTCAAATATCATGGCGAAGCCAGTGGATGGTATTTGGGTAATCTGGGTATCTGAACCCAGAACTTTCCTGTTCCAGAGTTTTGCTCTTTCCTTTTCCACACTGGGAAAATGAGGATGGCTGGGACGGGGCTAGGAAAGCCAGGACAGAACATTCTCTATTGCACAGTACAGAGCCGAGACTCTAGCAGTGCTGGAGAAACAGCCAGGAATGTGCGTGTGAGGGAAAAAGCATGGCTTTATCTCGGGCAAACCCGAGTCCCAGTCCCCTTATTTTTGAACGAGGTCATAATATTTGTTTTGAGGAAGAGATAATGAACGTAAAACAGCCCTCCACGGTGCTCTGTAAATTGTGTCTTACTAACTTCTCACAGGTGGTGCTCTGGTTCTTGGCTTGGCTGTAGAGACTTGGGTTTGAACAAGTGGAAAGCCAGGTTAGCACCCCTGCCCGCACTCCACAGTCTCATGTCACTTCTTTTAGCACCTTCTCTTCTATAGGCTAGGAGTAAATAGCCATGGTTCTGAATAGTTTCAGAACTGTACATTCAGTACAGCCATGGTTCTGAATAGTTTCAGAACTGTACATTCAGTACAGATCATTTGCTCTGTGGTGCTGAACTCTGTGACTCCGTGGCCCCTTGGGATGGTTCAGAGCTGAGCAGATATGCTCAGAGGCAGGCAGCAAACCCAGTACTGGAAAAAAGAGAGGTTTGGAGACTAGATCACTGCAGGCCTGCCTGGGTGGAGGAAACCATACAGAGGAGGTCAGAGCAGCACTTAAAATGACAAGTCTTAACCTGCTCTGTGTGTGAGTACATGTGTGCACGTGCTATGCTGCACAGCTGATTTTGTCTTCTGAACTCCTTCCACTTTCCCCTTGACCTTCTCTCGAGAGTGAATGCTCTGAACCCCACATGGCTAATCATGCTCACCAGGTTACCTTCAATTCCTGATGTGGGCAGTGGGAGCATCCATGGTACCTTTGCCAAGGGGGTGTCCCACCAAGGCCTATCCATAATGCCGTAGGATAAGCGGGGCCTGGCCCTGGAGACCCTCAGGAAATGCCAGGGCTCAACAGGCCTGAGTACAAAGGTCCACGGGCCACTGAGTTCCCTGGAGACAGGAAGCTGGAAACATTTTTGTTTCCTAGGACCTAGCAAAGAACTGGATATTATATATCAAATACATGTCTAATATATATCTTATATTAGACATTTTAAATATCTATGCCAATATATTATGTATATAATATGCAAGATATTACATGTGTAATATATTGTATATTAGATAATGCTGTATATAAAATGGCTATTATGTATATAATATGTAAGATATTACATGTGTAATATATTGTATATTAGATAATGCTGTATATTACATGTGTAATATATTGTATATTAGATATGCTGTATATAAAATGGCCAATATTATGTAGACAATATGTAAGATATTACATGTGTAATATATTGTATATTAGCTAATTAAGATATTACATGTGTAATATATTGTATATTAGCTATGCTGTATATAAAATGACTATTAGTATATCAGGTATGTAATACAGAAGATATTACATGCTTAATATGTCATATAAGAGATGTGCAATATGGAGGATATTACATGACCAGTATATTGTGTGCAAAATATATTGTATATTGGATATGTGATATGCCACATATCAGATGGAGAATACCATGTGTAATGTACATGTATCAGATATATAAAATGTGACTATTAATGTATTAGGTATGCAATGTAGAGGATATTACATGTGCGATATGTCACATACCAGATGTGTGATATATAAAATATTGCATAGGTGATGTGTGCTATTACTTAGATGTGCAATATAGTACATATTGGATAAGTCATATATTACATGTGCAGTATATATACATAATATGCCATGTATTAGACATGTAATACAGAAGATATTGAATGTGTAATATAGGACATATTACATAGGTAGTATTACATACCCATGTAATATTTGACATCTTGCCCATATAATATCTCATATATTACACATCAAATATATGACATATTACCCACGTAATATAGCACCTATGTAATTATGTCCTATATTACACATTCAATATCTTCTGTATTACGTGTCTAATACATGGCATATTGCCTACTTAATAAAATCATATTGCATTTCCATAATATACTGCACATGTAATATATAACTTATCTAATATGTACTATATTGCACATCTAATATCACACATCACCTATACAATATTTTATATATCACACATCTGATATACGACATATCACACATGTAATATCCTCTATATTACATGGGTAATAGAGGATAGCTATATATTACACATCTAATATAGGAGATATCACATGGTAAGATGTCAAGTAGTAAATGGGTAATATAGGAGATATTGCATGGGTAATATATCATAATGGACAATGTATAAAGTTGCATGGTACTATATTACAATTTAGATATACTATAAATTAATATATATGTATGTCTAATATATATTAGACATATGTCTTATATATTAGACATACATACACAGATATATTACATCCTAGATGACATATTAGACAATGTATTACTAGACACACGTACATGTCACATGTCTAATATGTGTGATATACCTAGTATATATACACCAATTGTATTCATACATTATGTAATTAGATGTATAATTGTGTATAATGTAACATACTATATATATTTCATCATATATATGATGAAATGTTTGCTGATGTGACTATGTTTACATATATATGTTTATGTAATAAATCTATAGAGTTCCCATTCCTTTCTCTCTTAATGGGGTTTCTGAAATGTGTTACTGCGGGCAGTTGTTTAGGTAAAAGCAAAGGACAGCTCTGTAGACATGTTAACAATGGCAGCTTTGGAGGTAGCTGTTGATCACCTGTGGACTCGAGTGTGCTGGGCTGGTCAGACCCAAGGACTTGATTCTAAGTTTCAGGAGATGGCAGCAGAGTCCATCCTAGAGGTCACAGTCACTGGCTTGCCCACCTTGCATGGCTCTGGCCCCATCTCAAGCCGGCCTGGGCTTGGGGCTGCTGCAGTCTCATAAATCAGTCTCTTATCAGGGTGGTGTCAGCTCCTTCCTTACCTTTATTCCTTGCCCGAGGCTTTCCAAGGAATTAATATCCAGTCCTTCTTTGCAGGCCTGAAGGCAGGAAATCACCTTCTGGCTTTCCATCTTGCCAGGGCGGATGGTGAGACTGGCCAGGCTGCCATGGAAGAACTGAGCAAACCGTGGTTTGGCCACTTCTCCCCCTGAAAGAAAACACAAGCCTGGGTTGGCCTGTGTGACTGGGTGGGAATCACCCTCTGCAGGCACCAGCCCGTGCTGACTGCATCCCCGAAATCTGGGGGAGGAAAACCAACCCTGCACCGGGTCCCCCCTGGGGACAACCCTTCTTCCCAGGTTCCAGGCTAGGCCTCTCCACTGTGGGCCATCTACCTCCCCTAGGCAGCCTTTGCCACCCTCCTCACCAGGGACAGGCTTCGCCTGTGTCTGCGTGGCCGGTGGACGCGGGACGCAGAGGGAAGGCGGCCTGGGCTAAGCCCCAGCCTGGCTACTTCCCTGGCCAGGCCGTGGAAGCTCAGCCGGCCTCCATTGGCTTGGAGGACAACCCAGGGGTCACTCCCTGGCTCTGCCCACGGCTCCATCGAGAAGAAACGGGCTCCCCTGCCTCTTCACAGGGCCGATTTCTAGCAAGCAACACGACGGTGCAAGCCACACTGTCCAGGCCTGACAGAGGCCAGGCTTTCCCCTGGGTGCTGTCTGTCTCAGCCCTGGGCGGGTAGCCAGCTGCTCCCTGGACACATGGCTTCTGTATCTGGACCTTACTCTACTTCTTGGTGCCTGACTCCTGACTCTAATCCTCCACTGAAGTGAATGATTCCTTCGGCTTTTCAATAGAAACTGCTCAGTGTCTCCCTTCCCACTGAATTGCTCCTACTAAATTCCCGTGTGGGTTTGGTCTCCTGCGAGGCTCCTTCGTTTACTTCTCCCCACTTCTCCCCATCCAAGAACTCAGGCTAGACCAACTGCAGTTCTTCGAGGCCCCCTTAGCTCCCTGTTCTGAGCCCTGGCACTCTGTCCCTCCTCACCTGGCATTGCTGGTGAGTGGTTCACATGCGGTCATTTTATGTCTGGTTGCCAGCAATGGCTCCACAGCCAGCGTGTGGGATGAGGGGCTTGCTCTCACTCCCAGAGAGGTGACTGAAGGGGAGGGGGGTGTTTAAAGCCTCTCAGGGGAATCATTTGTTGAGTCAAGGTTAGGAACCCCTGAGCTGTGAACGTCACTTCTCAACGTGGGACCTTTTGCACCCCCCTTTGTTATCTCTCTCCCTGCTGCTCTCCCTCCCCCCCCCAGGCGCACTCTTTGCACACGGCTGTAATTTATTAGTTTAAGTCTCTCTCCTGGATGGCAGGGATCACTCATGCATTATTCATGCTAATGAAGACGAGCCTGAGCCAGCTGAGGGGCTGAGGCTGCCCCGACTCTTTGCACACGCTGGCTCGTTTATTCTTCCCAGCCTCCTGTGCCCGCTTGGTACCCTGCGCCCTGCCTGGGCCCCTCTTCGTCACTGCCTGCTGGACAGCAGACTGGTGGCACTGTGGCTTCTTGTTCTCTGCCCCTTGCTATCATCCCTGATGTCCATCTGGCCAGCGCTCTCACCTGCTGGGCGGGGCCTGCTCGCTGCAAATGCAGCTTCTGCAGCAGCATCACTTTTGGCAAAAGATCCGTGCGGTGCGAGTCTCCCCCTGCACAAATGCGTTCAGGATAAGATGTCTTTCCTGCTTCCCTTCCCATTGCTGCTACTATAAGAATGCATGGGAAGGAGGGCAGCCATGTTGCCCTGCTGGACTGGCTGCTCAGGGTACGGCTGCTGGGCGGGGCGCCCTCCAAGAACACAATTCCATGCATGGTCGGAATCCGTTTTGAGCAATGGAAACGATAGCACTGTCTGACTTCTTGCTTTCTTTTATTTTCTCATTTCACTCATGGCAACCCTAGTGGAATGCAAAGACGAAGCCAAGTGTGTCACAGACCCCCTCCCCGCTCAGAGCTGCGGCTTTAAAACCCTGTCCCCGCGCAGCCGCATGGATGCTCACGTAGCTATAGGTTGCAGGTGACTTGAAAAGAAAAATGATCTGTCACGCTGGCCGGTCGTGACACATCCTCAGCAGGCACTCCGAACCTTTTCATTTTCCTGCACCAGGTCCCTTGCCTTCCTCGCAAACGTTTATATGGCACTACAGTGAGCAAAACATGCGACTGGGGGATGACCCGACCGTCGGGACCTAAATTCATAGAGCCGGCCGCTCCCTCATACATCATCTAGAGTACGGCCTTCAGGGACTCCCCAGATGAAGGAAGCGAGAGCCAGTCCAGGAGGCAAGACAAGACTTCAGCAGCCAGGCGACAAGAGGAAGGTGGGGGTTCCTCTGGGTACTCCGGTGTCTGCTGGAGTCTCAGCCTCCCTTCTGTCCAGTTGCTGGGGATAAGGCCAGTGCTTTGACCTCAGATCCCAGAATTCTCTAGTCTTCCTTGGCTATGGGCTTCTAGCAGTGTACTTAATGGGCACGATACTTATCTTCCCCGCATCCAATGAAACGGGATCATAACCAGTCCTGCATCACAGGTTATTATGAGATCTGGTGGCAAGTCCATCTGGCCTGCTGCCTGCCAACCATCCAAACATGGCGGCCGGCACAGTGCCAGCAAGGGGCCAAGGAACCCGTGCGGAGACGTGGGCTCGCGCTCTCTCTTCAGAGGTCGCCTCTTTTCTCCTGCCAGGTGTCTCAAGGGACACCAACGTCATAGTTTTAGCTTTAGGACTGTGGTCAAATTTCCTAATTAACATGATTTTCAGAATAAGCTACGCTGTGTTTCCAGACACAACTCACTGCACTTTCAGCCTGGTTCCGTCCACATCAAGCTGAGCGCAGCCCGTATCCGACTCTGAGGCCTACCGACCGTCTTTGTATTATTTGTAAAAGGCGGCGTCCCACTATTTGTTGTCAGACTGAGCAGGCACCTGTGTCCACACAGCTTCAAAACAGGAACGTAATTCAGCAAACCATCCATCGTCTGCATTTTCTCGGCCCTGCAACTGGGCCAGAAGGGGAACGGAGGTTCCCGCCGCCCCGCTCCAGGGGATGGTGTGCACGCACGCGTGCGTGTGTACGTGCGTGCGTGCATATCAGTATGAACCGCAATGGGCTGTTCTCCAGTTTCACACGGTCAGTTTCATAAAATCATGGGCTCAATATTTGTTCCGGAGTTCCTATGGGAGGTTCTGGTGAACCAGAGGCCTGGTGGTCCCCGGGGCGTGGCTGTGGGGTGGTTATTCTGGCTCGCATCCCGAAGCCGTCCTGTCCTCGGTGCACCGTGTGGAAGGCAGGGAGGCTGTGCTAGCAGGTGCCAGCAGCAGCCCTGGGGACACCGGATAATTTCACCCCAGCCTTCAGGATGAAATGTGTACTACATTAGACCAAGCTCTAAGTAAGCTGACGGCACATCCTCAAGTGTCCGGCAGGAGACTGACCTGGACGTGTGTGCTGACCCTCAGGGCCCCGCGTGGCTCCCCGGGCCCTCTGTCTGCAGTGGAGGCGAGCGCTGCCGCGGATGCCTCCAGTGCTGTTCTGTGTCAAATCAGCTTCTATTTCCAGTGTCCAACCCCCACTGGAAATTCCACAAGTGAGACCTGGAAAGCCCCTGGAAAGCCTCCCAACCCCCAGGTCCCAAGGCAGTGGAGGCTCACATGGAGGCCTGGGGCTCCACACAGAGCGGGTAGCACAAGCTTAGGACCAGCACCAGGCCCCGCTGCAAGAGGCCTTCACCAAGTCCTGTCCCTGAAGAGGCGCGCTGGGGACCCAGGGGCTGCCCACACGCTCTTCTCTGGCCTCTCTCTGTTCCTTCTGCTCTGTGCACATCCCCATGCCAGGGAACCCTGAGCAAGTCTAAGCCAACTGGCAGCCACCTCTCTCCTCCTCTCCTTCGAGCTGTTATTCACCTGGTTAAGTCCATCTTAAAGGGTTTTAATGGATCTCCCCCCCCCCCCGTACTGTTAGAACCCCACGGTACTGGCACTCCGAGCTGTTAGAATACACTAGTGGCTGCCATTCTGCTCAGGCCGAGTCCCCAAGGCTCCACTGCCCCAGGTGCAGTAGGCGGCTCTCGCTGCCCGCATTTCCAGCTCCATCTTCTAGAACTTGTCTCTATAGGCTATCCTAAAGCCTCACTGGCATCCATCCTCGTTTGCACAGTGACCTGAAAGGGCACCGTCTGTGTTTGAGGGCGAGTCCCGGGACAGGGGGAGAATCAGGGCATGCGTGGAGACCACAGAGGCTAGAGCAAGTCAGCGTCTTGAGGGTTCCCTGCAGGGTTGGGTTTAGTTGGAAGGAACAGAAAGGAGGATGGAAACGTGCGAAGAACAGACTGGATCCCTGTCACCCTGTACCTAATGGTTCAAAATGGATTGAAGACCTCAATGTAGACTTGAAGAACTTCTTGGCACAGGCAGGAACTTTCTCAGTCAGGTTCCAGTGGCTTAGCAAACCAAATAGAGAATTGACAGAGGGGATTGCATCAAACTAAGAAGTTTCTGCATGGCAGAGGACATTGTTAACAAGCTAACAAGAGCCTGTAGAAGGAGAAAAGCTATATATCAGACAACGGCCTAATTAATATCTAAGAAAGTACACCCTCAAAGAGTAGACAACCCAATTAATGGGCAAACAAGCTCAATAGAGACTTCCCAGAAGAAGTAAAAATGGCTAACAGACATGAGGAAATACTCAGCCCCTCAACCATAAAGAAGATACAGGCTCCACCTCACTCACCCCAGGCAGAATGGGAATGCCAGCATCAGGAATATAGGCAGTCGCTGACCAGTGGGGATGTGGGTGGAAAGGGACTCCAGTCCACTGTGATGGGAATGTAAACTTGCTCAACCGCTATAGAAGGTAGTTTGGAGATTCCTCACAAAACTGAAAATAAATTATACAGGTCCCTAGGCATTCATACACAGACCAAAGGAAGACACTCTTAGGAGAGGTCCAGAAAGGTGCAATGCCCATGTGCCTCTAATCATACAGAACATTTATGAAATGAACTCCAGGAAATGGAAACAAGATTCCCCCCTTTTTTTTGCTGTTTTCATTTTCTTTTTTGTCTTGCTTGTCTATGTCTTTGGGAGTATGAGGGGAGGCACAGAAATGGAAGAACAAACAAAGGGTGAACAAATGCTGCAGTGGTACTCACTAGACACTATGCTGAAAACGAGCTCTACAACTAGTGGTGGGGAAGGGAGGGGAAAACGGAGCATGAGAGAAGGGTGGCCTTGTCCAAGAGGAAACGGACGCTTTGCCTGAGTCATGTAACTGTAGCCCCTCTTTTTTTTTTTTAGCATCTTCAAAGAATACAAACTAAAAAGAGAACTACCCTGTGACCCAGCCATGCTAGAGTGAAGACACCTGCACATCCATGTTCAATGCTGCACTATTCACCATGGCTGAGTCATGGAAACAGCCCAGATAGCCTATGATGGATCAAAAAACGTCATACAATGGATTTTACTCTCCATGAGAGAGAACAGTATTATGTCATACTGAGTGAAGTAAGGCTCAGAGACAGATTGTGCACATTTTCTCTACTCTGTGGACGTTAGACCTAACACACATACAAGGCCATATCCATAGATGCACAATCAAACTGAATTACCGTGTGTGCATGGGTGTGTTTCCATGGCGGTCACTGCTTTGAGTAATTAACGGACAGTTTAAGGAAACGAATACCTGGAAGCTGGAACTTGTCTGGACTGCAGGAGTGGGACGTAATGGGGGAGCTGACGAATGGAGAGAGGAAGGATGGGAAATGCAGTCACAGTACTGAATGTACTTACGTCAAAATGGAACTGGGAAACTTGACAAGATGGGTGGGGAGGGGACAGTTCAGGGAAGAGGGAGGCGTGACCAAGATGCCTTGTGTAGACAGATGGATATGTTAAATTGAAGCCCTGTGCACAGCTACCTGAAGATACTAATAATAAAGATTTCTACCAAGAAGTGACCTCAGGCACCTCATTTATAACTAAGTAGCCAAAACAACACAAATGACCACAGCGAACTGCAAGGAAGAACTATTACACATCTGGAAAGAGAGCCAGAAATGCCTGGCTCAGGACATGGGCCTGGACTCCGGAATTGGAGAAAGAAAGGAGCAGAGACCTCGATGGGAGGGCTCTGGGATCTACTTTGGGCCTTGGTGCTAAGACACCAGGGCGGGGCTCAGGGCCGAGCCAACCCTGACAGGACCTTCTGTGGCTTCCCAGCCTGCCGACAGGGCTGGCTATGGTGGTGTCCCCTGAATAGAGGAGGGGAGCTGGGCAGCCTGGGGAAGAGGAGGGGAGACCCAGCACAGCACTCATCAGAGCCCACTGGGGGTTCCAACACAAGATTCCGAGGTTTCAGAATAACAGAGCATCAGCAACTCAGAGGCAACTATGCGACACTACATGTTGAGCTGAAGCTCTCGTCACAGGGTTAGCATCTGGTTTATGCTTGCTTTTCTAAGTTCGGTTTCATTAGTGAGCTAGCAGGGTTTGCTTTTCTTGCTAACGCTATGCCACTGCATTTCCTTTTCCTCTGCTGTATCTTCCACAGAGCACAGAGCAGGGAAGAAGAGCCCCCGTAGGGTTACCTTGCCAGCAGGCACCGACCGTCAGCTGCATGGCGATGTGAGAGGGGTGGATGGGCCAGTCGTTGGTCACCAGGTACGGTTCATACGTTGCTCCATCCATGTAGAGGGTGACCACAGGAAACTCCACATTGATGACGTAGTAATGCCACTCTTTGTCACAAATCTAATGAAGAGAAGCAACACTTGTTATTGAATGTGTACCTTCGACACCCAATGGCCTTTTTAATTATGAAAGGAGAAGAAGACATCTCTGGTTTGACAGTTTTACCCCAAGCACTCAGGGAAGAGGGCGGGTGACCTCTGCTGAGGTCACGGAAGCTTGCTGTCACACAGGGTGACAAGAGCCACCCTGAGAATCCCATTGTCAGGAGAAGATGAGCACATGTCAGAACTTACAGGGGACTGACTCCGTGACCCCCTGCTGACAGCAGACTATGCGGATGCTTTCATCTTTATGTAAAATAATATAGATCCTATACCCTCTTGTACGTCTCAAATCATCTCTGAATTACTCACAATACCAAATACAATGTAAATGCAATGTAAGTCCCTGCCAGGCTCTATTATTTAGGGAATAGTGACAAGGAAAACACTTGTTCTTGCTCAATACAGGTACAATTTCTTTCTCCAAATAATTGTGATTGTGGTTGGATGAATCCTCAGCTGCCAGACCTGTGGGTGTGGAGGGCTGACTCTGATTGTGGACAGATGATTTTGGTCACGGAACTATCAGCTGTCTATGCTGGCAGATTTTTGATGGACAGGTGGGTAGGTACAAGTTTAACTTGCTTTGAGTAGAGCTTCATTCTTTAGTAGCAAAAGAAACTCAAATGAGTCCTCCCCCCACACACACCTTAAGTTTGGGGATACATGGGGCTTTAAAAAAAGTTGTTAGAAGGGAGTAGAAAGGAAGATGAAGATTGGAGGAGGAGGAGGACGAGGAGGAAGGAAAGAAGAGGAAGGAGGAAAGAATTAGGAGCTGGAACCAAGGCAATGAACACACAGGAGACGCTGGGTATGCAAGGGAAATGGAGGCGCCCCCTCCCCCCGTCCTTTGGACTTAGATAATTTTTAAATCCTCTTTAAGGAGTGGTACACGGGTTTCGGTTTGGCTGTATGAAGGCTTGTCAGAGAAGCAAGGGTCAACTCATAGTTCTTCTGGCCCCAGCAAAATGAATTCTGAGGGAGACAGAGTTAACCTCTGTGTAGGCACAAAGGGCTGCAACGGGTCCCCGCCTGGACGTGGTACAAGGAACTCTGTACACACAGGCCCCCTCACACCGGCTACCCCGGTCTCAGGAGGATGGTCATCCCTCATCTCCAGAGACTGAACCCTTCCATGAACTTCCACAGAAACCGCGTGGCCCACGGTGAGCGAAGGAGAATGGGAAACGCCAAAGGCGGCCTGACTGGAGGGGTGTCCCCTCCCCCGAGCCCCGAGTGCACGCCTGGAGTCCGGCTGGACTCCCTGCCCTTCATACTGCCTCTGCGTCTCCCAGCACCCTGTGGAGTCCTCCTCCGGCCCCCATGGCCCCCGCCATCGGCGGCAGGGGAGACTGATGAGTTCTGCATGAAGGTGACCCCAAGGTGAGGGCATCAAAGCCCCCCCACAGCCCCTCTGGACTGGCGGTGCTGCTTCTCATGAATAGATAACACCAACAGGGATGCTAAATGATCTTCTCCCTTTCATTTCGGAATAAGAAATTTTTTTCCTTAATGTTCTTTTTATATTGTCCTATCTCATGTCTCAGAAAATTACTCCTTTTGAAGCCCATTAGCCTGCTGACTATTTTAGGGGACTTTGGAAGGTAAGTGGGAGGAGTCCAGGCAGGTCAGCCCAAAGTCTCCTTACTTTCGGTGAGAAGCCCTGACTCAGTTTACACATCCATTCACATTTGGTGTCTTGGGTCAGACTCTGGCTGGCTGAGTCCAGAGCTCGTGGGGCTGGGCTGTATCTGGGTGGGGTGACCCCAGGTTGGTAAAAAGGAAGAGCATGGGGATGGTCGAACAGTGGGGAGCTAAGTAGAGGGAGTTGAAAGAAGCCCCCCCAACCCAAAGAGGCTTTCCCAGGTTGGGAAAGCCAGGCAGAAGCAGCGGCCTGGAGCAGGGTCCACATCTGGTAGCCCTCCAGTGAGGACACAGCTGTGTCCGTGACTCTAGCCCCTGTCCTGTGGCAGGAAGTGGAGCAGTTCCCAAGGGACCCTCACCACCATCTGTGTGAAGGCCAGACTGACTGATGGGAGCAGCTGGCGCTGTCCCGTGCCATGTCTGCTGGAGACGGAAGGCTGCCCCCTGGCTTTATAGCACAACACTCAGCTTTTCTATATGAGGAGACAGAGATTTCTAAGGAAGAAGCAAAATAATCTCATGTCCCCAACAGCAGCAGAAACCCCTCTATTATATTTTTCCCCCTGGGGGCTCCACGGCTAGGGGCCTTCTACACTGTAAAAACCGTGACCGTGGGGTCCGAGCTACACCACGCCATGCAGGGGTGGCAGCTTTCCCCGCATTAGCATATCCCAAGCGCCCACTGGTCTCAAAATATATGCATGTATAAACTTTTTGGACTTTTTCCTATTTATAGTATTTCTTACATTCTATGAAAGTTTGCCTGTTCTCCCCTCCCCCCTCTCATGGTTAGTTGTGGGGTTTTGGTTCAGGGGCCTGGGTCCTGTCCTTCAGCTTTTTCCACTCAAAGCGAGTGCTCTACCACTTTGAGCCACGGCGCCACTTCTGGTTTTCTGATGGTTAAATGGAGCTGAGAGTCTCAGACTTTCCTGCCAAATAATCGTGATCCTCTGATCTCAGCTTCCTGAGTAGCTAGGATTACAGGCATCAGCCACCAACACCCGGCTTCATGGGTATCTTAATAACGTAATCATCCCCTTATTATCCAGTTATTCATTATTAGCTATTACACATGTGCATGAACATTTGTCTATAATTCCAACTGTATCCTTAGGAAAGACTCCTGTGAAATGATATTACTGCATCGAATGCTGGAGCTGTTTTTAAGGTCCTTGATACATATCAGTTGTTTTCCTGCAAAACATTGCACCTATTTATGTTCCTACCCACACAATGTGAGTGCATTCATGCAATGTACCTTGACACCTTAAATATTTTAAAATAAAGGAATAAATAAAATCCTAGGAAATTGAAAAGTCTCCCATTTTAATATAGTCTGCAAAAATGGTTAAGACCTAATGTTTCCAACATCCAAAGGCACAGGGCGGAGGTATGTGAATCTGTGGTCAGAAGGAGACCGCCACTGACCATCTGCTAAGACCTGCAGGGTCAGATGATAACTGACAAATGATCCAGCCAGAAGTAGGAGAAGTAAATGTGTTCAGGCATAGTTCAACCAGGACAGAAGGAAATGTGGCAAAGTGACCTTTCCCAGAGGGGAGTAAAGAATTTTAATTCCCAACTGCTTGTAAATCATGGGTAAACCCAGTCGGCACTGAGCATGCCCTTTGCCATTTCCTGAGCCAATGCCCGAGGCTTCGCCTGGACCAAAGACAGTCCCTTGCCTGGTTAGGGGACATACTGAAGGACTGGTAAGATTTCCTTTGGTGTTCAGGTGGCACACAGCTGGATCCCAGCTGCTTGTGGACGGAGGCTGGTCATGGAGAAAGCTTGAGACCCAACCTGACATACAAACTAAAAGCAAAGAAAATAGGGATATGGCTCAAGAGACAGAGTGCTTCACTAATAGTGGGAGGTCCTGAGTCCAGTCCCAGGAAAAAGAGTGAAGAGGGAGAGGGTGGGGGAGGAGCAGGAGAGATTCTAATCTAATCAAAGCAGAAACATTCCTCTATCCATGTGTGTTTTCCGTGGTCAAAGATACTAGGTTTGGGGCATACAGAGATTCACTTGTTCCTTCTACAGACTCACAATGGAAGATTTCTATTTGTGAGTGACCCCAAGAAAGTCCCTGCCTGGCTGCCAGTCCTGGTACCTGCGGTGACAGGCCGATTCAACACACCGTGAGTGCCCGGGTGGGGGAGGAGCAGGCTGTGCCGGGGCCAGGGCCAGGCTGGCGTGTGAGGCGGGGCTGCCGGGCTTTGGGATGGAGAATGGAGAATTTAGGTGACACTGCAGAGCATTTGGATGAAAAAACTGATGGAGTTAAGAGCTATGGATTCTCGGGAGGAAAGGATGACCCCATGTGCTTTGCTAGCGTTCTAGGCGTGCGTCCTGCAACAGGCTGATCATACTCCCTAAAGCCCCTGCCGCCCAGGCCGCCTCTGATTGGGTCTCCATTTTACCGCACGAATGAGCACTGTGGCTGTGCGTGCTAGTCCTCTCCCTGCGGGCTGCCAACACCACCGGCCCTAGGTCACTGCTTTGGAACATTAGAAGGGTAAGGTTTTGGTGAGTGCCAAGATCAGCCTCCTTCCAGGCCAGCGTGGCACAACTGTTTTGCAAGTCTCTTTCAGATATGGCCCTGGAGGGTTGCCTGTACTCCCGAGCCGTGTGTTCCCCGCAGAGGATGACGGTGACAGTGGTGACAGCTCAGAAAGTGCCCGCTGAGTCTCCTGACAAAAAGTCTCGCTGACTCAGGGCCCTGGCCCCAGGAGCACAGCACGTGCAGACCAGCGGTGTCCAGGAGACCACTCTGAAATCTGGTGCTCACAGGACCCCTGACCCCGGCCCCGCTCTCCGTCTCTGCGGCCAGGCAGCTCCTTTCCTGGGGCTCATGGCGGGCCGTTTGGCCCCCCCAACCATTCTCAGCCCACTCCAGTCGGTCTCTCGGGTAATTCCATTGCCACGCGGCAGCGCAAGCAGGAGGATCGCAGTCTAGACTCGCCAAGGAATAATGTGAGATCCTACCAATGAAAATGGGGCTGGAGGAATGGCTCAAGTGGTAGCGTCCCTACCTACCAAGTGGGGGGCCCTCTGTTCAATCGCCGCACTGTCGCAGTGCAGCCACTAAAACCTCTTGGGAGCCACACGGTGTGACCCTGACCCCATGTACTCGGCACACATCGACCAGGAGCTCACCAGGTCTCCGCACTCGCTGGGTGCAGCGGATGTGACAGATTCCAGCCAGACGCCTCCTATTTGCCAGCACATGCCACGGCCTCCCCTCCTCTCCCCTCCCCAAAGATGCCAACCGCTGTAGTCATGTGTTTCCTGCTGCTCATCTGAGGTACAAGG